TCGTGGCCCCAGGACTGGCCGTCTGTCCAGCTGCTTCCGCCCACATGGGGGTCCAGATGTTCCCAGGAGAGATGCTGGAGTGGGAGGGGGGGAAGGGGGAAGACAATGTAGCACCACATGTGCTCTCAAATGCTCACCCCCTGCCTCATCACAAGGCTAGCACTGTGCACTTCCCCACAACAGTGCCTTCCGACCAGGATCACCCCTGGGGGCTGCAAACTTCCCTGCAGCAGTGCCCTGAGTGAAGGACACCTCCAAGCTGCCCTGCGACAGTGCCCCCCCAGGCAGGTAAGTCTCTCCAGCGCTGCGAGCTTCCCCACAGCAGTGCCCACGTTCCCTCCTCCGGCCCCAGCCTCCATTCTTCTCCCCAAACCTCTGGGGCCCACAGCAGTGCCCCCCCCCGGTGGCCATGCTGCGAGCTTCCCTGCAACAGTGCCCGAGGCGGTGACGATCCCGGATGCTGCGAGCTCTCCCGTGGCAGGACGCCCCGGGGAGGTTCCAAGATACCTGTTAACTCGCACCCCATATCTGCTCTCGTCCACCGCCATGGCCTTCGTCATCGCTGTCACCGCACCCTGGGGACAGACTCCAGATCGAGGGGCTGTCAGGGACTCCGCCCCTCCCGCTCCCCCCTGCGAAACACCAGACCCCAGGTGGGGGGATGGGTCTGTGCTGAGTGACCCCCCCCTCCCCACCAAACGGTCTGCTCAGCAATAGCTACAGGCACAGGACAGCTGGGTTCTCCTCCTCCTCCGGGAGGGGAGTGGGGGCTAGTGGTTAGAGCAAGGGGGGCAGGGGCCAGGACTCCCCTGAGTCTACCCGTACCTTGGTGGCGACGTAGGGAACCGCCTGCCTCTGTCCGATGATGCCCACGAGACTGGAGATGTTGATGATGTTGCCTCGGGTCTCCCGTAGAGAGGGCAGGGCGGACTGCACCAGAGACGTGAGAGATAGGTGGGGGAGAGGCAGCTGCTTCTGGGGCACGGCACTGGGGACGGGCACATTAGAACCCCTCCCCCGCCCTGGGATG